TGTAGTTAAAAATTAAAAGTTAAAAGAAGAATAACAATAATAATAATAATAAAAATAAAAGCGTGTGGAGAAAGTGGAGCAAATCAGGATTAGGTAGAAGTCGTCCCACACCATTCATTTATTTTCTACAGTGGAGAGCCCATCAGGATATACAAGTCAACCACTTTTTCTTTTCTCTAATAGGACACAATAATTATTCTTTTTTATTGTTTGTCTGAGCACTGCAACATTAATTGGGTAGGGAAATAGCATTGCAATTTCTGGGAAATGACATATATAAATACCACATTGCCTCTCTTGGATTTCCATAGAAATTAATTGCTTTCCGATTCAGAATTCAATGGCTCGGCTTATCTTTCTTTTCCTTGCCTTTCTCTTTCTGATCACTAATGTTATCATTATCAGCAATTTTAATGGCAACTCTGTTCATGCGGTCTGCATTGAGAGCGAGAAAGAAGCCCTTTTGAAGTTCAAGCAAGGTATCGTGGATCGCACCAACCGACTGGCCTCTTGGCATTCTGATGGAGATTGTTGCAAATGGACGGGGATTGTCTGCAACAACGTGACTGGTCATGTCATTGAACTCAACCTTAGAGTACCTCCATTGGATGACTACTATGATGATGAGGCTTATGAGGCTTATGAGGCTTATGAGGCTTATTATGAGGCTTATGAAAGATCATGGCTGGGTGGTAAGATAAGTCCTTCTCTGCTCCATTTGAAGCATTTGAGTTATTTGGATCTCAGCAACAATGATTTTAAAGGAATTCACATTCCCAAGTTTATTGGTTCTTTGAGGAGTCTAAGATACCTTAACCTCTCCCTTTCAGTATTTGGAGGGAAAGTTCCTCACCATCTTGGTAATCTTTCTTATCTAAAATATCTCGATCTTGGGAACAATGATTTGCATGTTGAGACTCTCCATTGGTTGTCTAGTCTTTCTTCATTGGAGTACCTTGATTTGAGTTCTGTGAACCTTAGCCAAGCCTCCACTTGGTTTCATGCATTAAATACACTTCCTTCTTTGGTAGAATTGCACTTGTCATACTGCCAACTTCCCCATAAGTTCCATTCCATTGCAGGTGTAAATTTATCATCTCTTGCTACCCTTTCTCTTTCTTGGAATTCTTTCCAAAACTTGTCAATGATCAATTGGGTTTTTGGTCTCAAGAACCTAATTTCCCTTGATCTGTCAAGAAATTATATTGAAGGTCCAATCCCTTATGGTCTTCAAAATTTGACTTCGTTGAATCTACTTGATCTATCATCCAATTCTTTCACTTCCTCAATACCTAATTGGTCAGTTTTTGGTCTCAAGAACCTAATTTCCCTTGATCTATCAAGAAATTATATTGAAGGTCCAATCCTTTATGGTCTTCAAAATTTGACTTCGTTGAAGCAACTTGATCTATCATCCAATTCTTTCAATTCCTCAATACCTAATTGGTCAGTTTTTGGTCTCAAGAACCTAATTTCCCTTGATCTATCAAGTAATTATATTGAAGGTCCAATCCCTCATGGTCTTCAAAATTTGACTTCATTGAAGCAACTTGATCTATCATCCAATTCTTTCAATTCCTCAATACCTAATTGGTCAAGTCTTGGTCTCAAGAACCTAATTTCCCTTGATCTATCAGGTAATTATATTGAAGGTCCAATCCCTTATGGTCTTCAAAATTTGACTTCGTTGAAGCAACTTGATCTATCATCCAATTCTTTCAATTCCTCATTACCTAATTGGTCAAGTTTTGGTCTCAAGAACCTAATTTCCCTTGATCTATCAGGTAATCATATTGAAGGTCCAATCCCTTATGGTCTTCAAAATTTGACTTCATTGAAGCAACTTGATCTGTCATACAATTCTTTCAATTCCTCAATATCTAATTGGTTGGTTCTTGGTCTCAAGAACCTAATTTCCCTTGATCTATCGAGTAATCATATTGAAGGTCCAATCCCTTATGGTCTTCAAAATTTGACTTCGTTGAAGCACCTTGATCTGTCATACAATTCTTTCAATTCCTCAATACCTAATTGGTTGTACACTTTTGCTCCTCTTGAGTCTCTAAAACTTGGAGAAAATCTCTTGCAAGGTGAAATTTCAAGTGACATAGGAAAGATGAAGTTTGTTGTTGACCTTGACTTATCCTGTAATAGTTTTGAAGGTCAAATCCCAATTAATTCAGTAGGAAATCTCTGCAACTTGAGGTCACTCACCCTCTCAGGTGTCAATTTGAGTCTAAACATATCAAATGTCTTAGAAGTATTTTCTAGGTGTGTTTCTAATAAAATAGAATCATTGTTCTTGAGTGACTGTCGCCTCTATGGACAATTAAGCAACCAACTAGGGAACTTTAAAAATTTGAGAGAGTTGCTTTTGTTTAAAAACTCAATCTCTGGTTCAATACCAGAATCCATAGGAGAGCTTTCATCCTTAACATTTTTACAACTCTCTCAAAACAAATTCAAAGAAAACCTTCCTGAGTCATTTGGTCAACTCTCTAATTTAGAATATGTTTATATGTCAAATAATTTTTTGGAGGGTACTCTTTCTGAGAAACACTTTTTTAACCTCACAAAATTGTTTACTTTAGTTGCAAATGGGAACCCATTGATTTTGAAGGTTGATCCTAGTTGGATTCCTCCTTTTCAAATTGGATGGTTAGGATTAAGATCTTGGCATTTAGGACCACAATTTCCACATTGGCTTTCTTCTCAAAGACAGCTAGAATTCTTAGACATATCCCACTCTGGAATCTCATGTATTCTCCCCAGTTGTTTTTTGGACTTGCCTCCTCGTTTGAGATTTCTAAATCTTGCTCACAATCAAATTCATGGGCAACTTCCAAGCATTTCTACCTTTAATGATTCATTATCACAGATCTTTTCTAATCTAATTTTCTTAGACCTTTCTAATAATCTTCTATTAGGTTCCCTTTTCAACTTTTTGTGTTTTGGAGTTAATGAGACCATGGATCAAAAGTATGTTCTCAATCTTGGCAACAATTTTTTGTCTGGAGAGTTACCAAATTGTTGGTCCAAGTGGCCAAATCTAGAGGTCATTGCATTAGATAACAACAAATTTACAGGTGAAATTCCAAACACCATGGGAACTTTACAGTCCCTTCAATCGTTGCATCTTCATGGTAATAACCTTTCAGGAGAAATTCCTGTGTCAATAAAAAACTGTACAGCTTTAGTGACCCTTGATTTTGGTGAAAATGAATTGGTTGGGAACATCCCATCATGGATGGGTCATAACCTTCTAAATCTGACAATCTTGAGGCTACGTTCAAACAAATTTTTGGGGCATATCCCTAAAGAGTTATGTGCACTTAGTTTTCTCCAAGTCTTGGATGTTGCTCAAAATAGGCTTTCCGGAAGCTTACCAAGTTGCATTAGTAACTTAAGTGCCATGGCTTATTTTGTAAATGGCTCATTTGGGAACTACATTACATACAATAGAAACACATCAAATTTTATTGAGAATGTATTTCTAGTGATAAAAGGCCAGCGTCATGAATATGATCAAATTCTTAATTTGGTAAGAGTCCTTGATTTGTCAGATAACAATTTATCAGAAGATATCCCTTGGGAAATAACTAGGCTTCAGGGGTTGCAATCACTAAATTTGTCACATAACCTTTTCACTAAAAGGATCCCTTCAAATATTGGTGACATGAGTTCACTAGAATCTCTTGATCTTTCTGTAAACAAATTGCTCGGGTCAATCCCTGAAAGCATGTCTAGATTGTCATTTCTAAGCTACTTGAACCTATCTGACAACCAATTGAGTGGAAAAATACCTATAAGTACTCAGTTACAAAGCTTTGATGCATCTTGCTATGCTAGAAACGAACTGTGTGGCCTTCCACTACTGGATAATTGCAACGAAGTTAATCATGTAGTACCTGGTATTGGAAATAAGGGAGGGAAAGATATGGATGGAGCTAAAGTGAATTGGTTGTTTGTTAGCATGACACTTGGGTTTATTTTGGGATTTTGGTGTGTATTGAGTCCTCTAGTGATTAGTAGGGAATGGAGGTATGCATATTATCAATATCTGGATGAGATGTGGTGGAAAGTCAGTGATTATGGGAGTAAATATTTCTAAAATTTGATGTAGGTTTTTTTACAAGTGTATTTCTCTTCATGTTCTTGTGAAATGTTATAAAGCATTGCCTCTTCACTATTGCTCAATTTTGTTTTGACTATTTGTTATCTCTAATGAAGTAGTAAAAT